CGATTACAAACTCAAATCCCACTATACACTGCGCACCTCAAACCCGTACCCAGCCCTCTGGTCCGTGCCGACAAAATAGTAATTTATGCTAATTTAAGATCATCACAAATTACATTTTCTCCGAATCAAGTGCAGATGATTTTTCATGAAATCATCGTTCACGACGATAAAAATAAGAGATGCTCCAGAGGCTCAACATGTTCTATCTATTACCTGCAGGATCTTTGCTGATACTAATGCTATGGGATGCCCGCGTTGCTGGAATGGACGTATACGTTTCACCAAGAGGAAATGATTCATCACATTGCACTGAAGAAAAACCGTGCAAGACACTCAATGAAGCTTTCTTGCGCGTTTCTGGTCACAACTCGACAAGGATTATGTTGGCTAAAGGAAATTACACGATGAAAAAGGGCCACAATTTTACTAGAATGGCAACGTTTGGGCTGTTTGGTCACGGTTCAATTCGCCGAGACGATGTGACAATAACGTGTGATGCAAATGCAAGCCTCTCGTTTACTCTTTGCGAGAATATTTCCTTCAAGAGCATCAAGTTTCTTAAGTGTGGAGGATGGTTTGAGAGCTCTTGTGGAAGGGAAAATTATCCAGATCTTCATGGGGCAAAATTCATGGCAGCCCTAGATTTTCGATATTGCAGAAATCTTTCGATCTCTGATGTGGAAATTTCGTCTTCGCCAGGTCTAGGCGCTAATTTGTACGATGTTAGCGGCTTTGTGAGCTTTACAGACAGTGTTTTTGCTGATAATAAGGCTGCTTCAAATGATATCTCGGAAGATGGAAACAAATTGGAACTACTTCCCAGGTACGTGCATTCTGGAGGCGGTGTTTTTGTTATTTTTAACAGGTACGGCGATAATACAGTCAATGTAACGCCAAGCGAGCATGACTCATATCAACACAACAGCCACTATATTTTTAACGATTGCCACTTTCTAAGAAACGAAGCGCGATGGTCAAACGTAAGTGAAAACAGAGACCTTAATACACCGGAACGTCCTTTCAGCCGTGGTGGGGGATTGGCAGTGTTCTTCAAAGGGAATGCCTCTGGATGCAACGTTGCAATCAGTGCTTGTAAATTCATAGATAATCGTGCATCATGGGGAGGGGGTCTGCAAATACTAATGGCAGACAAGACAGAAAACAATTCCTTTATAATGGAGGGAACGACCTTTCTGAGAAATAAAGCAGATCTATCCGCTGGAGGAGCACGCATGGGAAACATACCACTTAAACACACGCCGCTTATTTTGAACCGATTCAATATCAGCAACTGTTCATTTGTTCAGAACGAGGCTTTGTGGGGAGGTGGTGCCTCCGTCTTTGGTAGAACGATCGCGCGCACCAAACATTCAGAAACTGCTGTTACACAGTTCCACTTTAAGCAATCCACTTGGCAGCACAACAAAGCAAACGTAGGGGCCGCCATAGGAGTATATCTTTACAACTATAATAGATACCACATTGGACCGCAAATTCCTTACCGTGTTTGTTTTGACAATGATACGGTGTTTGAATTTAATCACATTGGTCTTCAACATGGTGACCTGAAATTGGGACAAGGAACTCTCTACAGTTTGGAGGTGCCTCTCATCTTCAAAAGCACCACGAAATTTTGGAACAATAGTAAGTCCGCGTTAGTTTTAGATGGATCGACCCTTGAAGTTCATGACCAGGTAGAATTCACCAACAACACTGGGCTTAGAGGCGGTGCTATAGCAATATATGGAAGATCGAGAATAATTTTCCACGAAAATGCAAAATTAACCTTTGAAGCAAATTCATGCGACGATAAAGGTGGAGCAATGTACATTCAAGCCCCTGGTCCTCCACTGGTAAGTTTCAACGCAACAGGTACCAACATTTACACATGTTTCTTTGCGTACAGCAACTCGTCCATACATTATGATGAATGGAATATAACGGTCATCTTTAAAAATAATAGAGCACCCCGTCACTCCTCAGGAAAGTCGGTCTATGTCACTACACTTAAAAACTGTTGGCAAGTGGGCGAGAATCGAACAAACAACAGCGTACTAAAATGGAAGTTTGTCAAGTTTCATAACTTGCCTGAAAACTTCACGAACTTTACGGGCGAAGTTGCGACAGACCCAATAGAAATAGAGTATGTAAAGACAGACTGGAAGGTTGCTCCAGGTGAGATTTTTAATGCAACCGTTAAATTGCGCGACGAAGTTAAAAATCTCGTCCCAGGGATTGTTGATATAGTAATCAATTCTTTTTCAGTACACCTCAATACCCCGTCAGCATTATTTCTTACGACTGGAAAAATTACCAATATCAGTCTATGCGGAATAGAACGAAGCAAATTTTCTGTGCAGCTAAATTGTAAAGGAAGTCAACTTTTAAGTACAGTGATAGGCGATCTCGAGTTAAACAATTGCTATGCCGGATTTCGTTTTTCAAACGAAACATTAACATGTAAATGTATGGATTCCGTCAAAGACGAGCAAGCTAGAGGGGTGTCGCACTGTGCTCCTGATGGGAAGAGCCTTTATGTGAAACAAGGATACTGGGCAGGAAAGGTGCAAGGCAAGTTTTCCACGCATGTCTGCCCTGATGGATATTGCAAATCATGGGATTCAAGCGCTAACGAATATCTGTATTTTGAGGATCAAATGTGCAAGCAGGGTAGAAAACAGAGTAGCGTACTCTGCGGACAATGTGAAGCAAATCATAGCGTTACCATTGGCAGTGAACAGTGCAAGAATGAATGTACGAATTTGTATTTGTTACTGTTGATACCGTTGGCTCTGGTTCTTCTCCTGATTGTCATGGGGATCATGCTTATAGATCTTGACGTCTTTACTGGGTACTTAAACGCCTGGGTGTACTCCTACCAAGTCATGAGATACTTAGCACCAGATGGATTTCTATTTAACAGTTTTAGCGAATTTGTCATAGCTTTAACCAATTGCCAAATTAAAGTTGGGAACAGCAGCTTCTGTTTGGTCAAAGGTCTTGATGATGCCGACAAACTCATGGCGATGTACCTCATCCCGGTATACGTAATAGCAGTTGTCGTCTTGCTAGCAAAGATGGTGAGTGCTTTTCCGAACTGGTGCTTTAGCAGACGGGTCAGAGCACCATTTCGCGGCATATGCACCATCCTTGTACTCTGTTATACACACACCACCTATATTTCTCTCAGGATTCTGCGTTTTGCCAAAGTTGGATCAAAGATCGTGCTTTACGTCAATGGTGAGATAGAGTACTTCAGTGGAAAGCATTTCTATTACGGAATTGTCGCCAGTCTCTTAGTGGTGTTCGTGTCAGTACTCTTTCCGTTATTCCTTTTATTTCGCCCGCTCCTGACAAGAGGTCTTCGTCCAGTCCTGAACCTCAATCGCTGGAATCCGTTCTTTGACGCACTTCAGAGCTGTTTTAAAGATCAGTATCGTTGGTGTGCGGCCTTCTACTTTATCTGCCGGCTGGGTCTCCTGGTCATCTATGAATTTATAGCGGCAGGTCCAGTGAAAAGACTTTTGCTGGAGGTGGCCTGCATCTCGATCCTGCTGACCTTTGCAATCTTGAGGCCCTACAAGGAAGCTCTAAATGTCGAAGAGGACGAGGAGAGTTATGACTGGATGAACAAATCTGACGTGGCACTCCTGACCACTCTTTCCTTCATCGCTGTGACCAGTTCCCTATGCGAAAACAGCCTTGCAATCACCCCTGGTGAAAAATACGGGCTCATAATATTCCTCAACATCTTGTCCTGCATTCCCATTGCAGTGCTGATGGTAGTATTAGCCTTACGCGTTGGAAGGAGATACCTGCCGGCTTGTAGCACTAGAAAAGTTGAACCATTTACAGACTCCAAGAAAGTTCGTTAAATCTCTGTAAAATGTCTACATTTCCTTTGTAAATTACAATCTCAGTAAATTTGCACACTTACAGAGATTTTGTAATTTCCATAAAAAGTCTTTAAATTTCGCTTTCAGATCGCATAAAATGTACATGAAATGTTGTTGTTTTTCTTGTAAATGTTTCGTAAAATTTACAGAGATTTTACAGCATATAAACAAATCTCTGTAAAACATCCACATTTTCTCTGTAAAAAGGGAACTAGGAGAAAAAAATCTCTGTAAAATCGAAAACATCAAATCTCCACATTATATCTGTAAAATTTGAATAAAAATAATGTCATAAAATGGTAGTAAAATCTCCACAAATGTAAGCTACACAAAATGTCACAGAAAAGTAGTACACATAATGTCTGTAAAATGTAACCATTTTATTGGAATAAATCTTTGCAAAATGTCGACATTTTATCCGTAAAATCAGCCTGTACAAAACGATTAGGTGTGAAAGCCATAAGACATAATCTCAATAAGATCTCTGTAAAATGCAAACTGAACATTGCATAAAATCTTAGTTTAATGCATACACAAATAAACTACACAACAGGTCGCACGAAAGTACACATAATGTCTGTAAAATCACAAGGTAAAATAGGAAGGTATTGGAAACCATAACATTATCTTATTACACTTATTACAACAAGAGCTTTGTGAACAGCAAACTAAGGATTGTGGCAGGTACACACAAAATAGAACAATCCTTGTACCTTTCAATAACAGGTAAATTCTGAAGTTCAAAGTTATGTAACTAACAAATGAGATTTACACAGCCACATATCAAAATCATGACAACAATATGTTTCTTTGCGTACAGCAACTCGTCCATACATTATGATGAATGGAATATAACGGTCATCTTTAAAAATAATAGAGCACCCCGTCACTCCTCAGGAAAGTCGGTCTATGTCACTACACTTAAAAACTGTTGGCAAGTGGGCGAGAATCGAACAAACAACAGCGTACTAAAATGGAAGTTTGTCAAGTTTCATAACTTGCCTGAAAACTTCACGAACTTTACGGGCGAAGTTGCGACAGACCCAATAGAAATAGAGTATGTAAAGACAGACTGGAAGGTTGCTCCAGGTGAGATTTTTAATGCAACCGTTAAATTGCGCGACGAAGTTAAAAATCTCGTCCCAGGGATTGTTGATATAGTAATCAATTCTTTTTCAGTACACCTCAATACCCCGTCAGCATTATTTCTTACGACTGGAAAAATTACCAATATCAGTCTATGCGGAATAGAACGAAGCAAATTTTCTGTGCAGCTAAATTGTAAAGGAAGTCAACTTTTAAGTACAGTGATAGGCGATCTCGAGTTAAACAATTGCTATGCCGGATTTCGTTTTTCAAACGAAACATTAACATGTAAATGTATGGATTCCGTCAAAGACGAGCAAGCTAGAGGGGTGTCGCACTGTGCTCCTGATGGGAAGAGCCTTTATGTGAAACAAGGATACTGGGCAGGAAAGGTGCAAGGCAAGTTTTCCACGCATGTCTGCCCTGATGGATATTGCAAATCATGGGATTCAAGCGCTAACGAATATCTGTATTTTGAGGATCAAATGTGCAAGCAGGGTAGAAAACAGAGTAGCGTACTCTGCGGACAATGTGAAGCAAATCATAGCGTTACCATTGGCAGTGAACAGTGCAAGAATGAATGTACGAATTTGTATTTGTTACTGTTGATACCGTTGGCTCTGGTTCTTCTCCTGATTGTCATGGGGATCATGCTTATAGATCTTGACGTCTTTACTGGGTACTTAAACGCCTGGGTGTACTCCTACCAAGTCATGAGATACTTAGCACCAGATGGATTTCTATTTAACAGTTTTAGCGAATTTGTCATAGCTTTAACCAATTGCCAAATTAAAGTTGGGAACAGCAGCTTCTGTTTGGTCAAAGGTCTTGATGATGCCGACAAACTCATGGCGATGTACCTCATCCCGGTATACGTAATAGCAGTTGTCGTCTTGCTAGCAAAGATGGTGAGTGCTTTTCCGAACTGGTGCTTTAGCAGACGGGTCAGAGCACCATTTCGCGGCATATGCACCATCCTTGTACTCTGTTATACACACACCACCTATATTTCTCTCAGGATTCTGCGTTTTGCCAAAGTTGGATCAAAGATCGTGCTTTACGTCAATGGTGAGATAGAGTACTTCAGTGGAAAGCATTTCTATTACGGAATTGTCGCCAGTCTCTTAGTGGTGTTCGTGTCAGTACTCTTTCCGTTATTCCTTTTATTTCGCCCGCTCCTGACAAGAGGTCTTCGTCCAGTCCTGAACCTCAATCGCTGGAATCCGTTCTTTGACGCACTTCAGAGCTGTTTTAAAGATCAGTATCGTTGGTGTGCGGCCTTCTACTTTATCTGCCGGCTGGGTCTCCTGGTCATCTATGAATTTATAGCGGCAGGTCCAGTGAAAAGACTTTTGCTGGAGGTGGCCTGCATCTCGATCCTGCTGACCTTTGCAATCTTGAGGCCCTACAAGGAAGCTCTAAATGTCGAAGAGGACGAGGAGAGTTATGACTGGATGAACAAATCTGACGTGGCACTCCTGACCACTCTTTCCTTCATCGCTGTGACCAGTTCCCTATGCGAAAACAGCCTTGCAATCACCCCTGGTGAAAAATACGGGCTCATAATATTCCTCAACATCTTGTCCTGCATTCCCATTGCAGTGCTGATGGTAGTATTAGCCTTACGCGTTGGAAGGAGATACCTGCCGGCTTGTAGCACTAGAAAAGTTGAACCATTTACAGACTCCAAGAAAGTTCGTTAAATCTCTGTAAAATGTCTACATTTCCTTTGTAAATTACAATCTCAGTAAATTTGCACACTTACAGAGATTTTGTAATTTCCATAAAAAGTCTTTAAATTTCGCTTTCAGATCGCATAAAATGTACATGAAATGTTGTTGTTTTTCTTGTAAATGTTTCGTAAAATTTACAGAGATTTTACAGCATATAAACAAATCTCTGTAAAACATCCACATTTTCTCTGTAAAAAGGGAACTAGGAGAAAAAAATCTCTGTAAAATCGAAAACATCAAATCTCCACATTATATCTGTAAAATTTGAATAAAAATAATGTCATAAAATGGTAGTAAAATCTCCACAAATGTAAGCTACACAAAATGTCACAGAAAAGTAGTACACATAATGTCTGTAAAATGTAACCATTTTATTGGAATAAATCTTTGCAAAATGTCGACATTTTATCCGTAAAATCAGCCTGTACAAAACGATTAGGTGTGAAAGCCATAAGACATAATCTCAATAAGATCTCTGTAAAATGCAAACTGAACATTGCATAAAATCTTAGTTTAATGCATACACAAATAAACTACACAACAGGTCGCACGAAAGTACACATAATGTCTGTAAAATCACAAGGTAAAATAGGAAGGTATTGGAAACCATAACATTATCTTATTACACTTATTACAACAAGAGCTTTGTGAACAGCAAACTAAGGATTGTGGCAGGTACACACAAAATAGAACAATCCTTGTACCTTTCAATAACAGGTAAATTCTGAAGTTCAAAGTTATGTAACTAACAAATGAGATTTACACAGCCACATATCAAAATCATGACAACAATGAAAGGAGCTTGGGAAAGAAGATACAAACTCAAACGAACTGGATCAGACTGGTTCCTGAGATATTCCCAAGATAATTGACAGCAGTGTAATTTGGCGATATCTTTCCATCAATGAAGGTATATTAGAGCGGTTTTCAACTGAGTGTTGTAAAACCAAAACAGAAATAATTACTTACCAATTAGTGTACTCGGCCAATCTTGAAACCAAAACCAAAGCCAAAACCAAAGTAATTGTCTGATCACCAGGAGCCATAATTATGGCTCCTGCTGATCACTTAATTCAACACAACTGAAAACCGCTCTAGAGACACACATGTATAAGGGGGGTTCTGTTACCCAATTTATTTTCTCGGATCTCGGCTCTTAGAGTAGGGAAAATACAATGGATAACAGAACCCCCATTATATATGTGTGTGGGGTTGGAATCTCGGCTTAGAGCCACGGTTTACAGCACGAGCACGGTTATGCAAATTCTAGGCTGTTTAGCCGAGCATAACAATCTTTTGTCATAAAAGCTAGACAAAACATGTTTGGCGTGGCTGCTTGTTGTAAATAAACCACAACACAGCAAGATATATTTAACCCAACTTCTGTCATATGCAATGACGTCAATGAGGGAAACCTCCCTCTCTATCCAGCCGTAACTGTTGATCAGCTGTTTCTTTTTTTCCTTCAGAAAGCATCTCTTTGTTCTACCACGTTTCGGGTCCTTTTTTTTCTCGAAAAAAGACGAAAAGTGCCATTTTTATTGACCAGACTAAGATGAAATGACGTATTCTAACGAACTGTGGGGAAGAAAAAAATAGAAAGCCGTCTTTAAAATTTCTCTTGGCTTATACATTCCTGAAGGCTCCAAAAATTCCTCTTGGCGTAAGTTGAAGCCAAGAGGAATGCAACCGGAAGTTGTAAAGCCGTAGTCTCTTTTATGAAAACCTCAAGGTCTTAAACATGTAACCGGAAGTTGTGCAGCAGTGAAACTGCGTCAAACCGAGTATTAAACGGAAACATCTGAAAGATTACAATTACGTTTTTGTTAAATGTAAATTATAACCCCCGTTAACATGGGTAACAGAACAGGTGCGCGTGTAAATGGGTAACAGAATTATCTTCTATTGAAGAAATATGTGTCCCTTGTATAAACGGCATAATGGCTGCTTCAAGATTGTTATCTAACGTGCTGGAATTGTTTTATGGATCAATTTCACAAGAGGAAAACAAAAGACAAAAGAGACCTCTCGAGCCTGCGAGAGCCGCGCGAGAGAGATACATCCATTTTGAATTGCTTAGAACTAATTTTAGTGAGTGACTTCGTGTATGGAAAATAACTGTTCCATAAGGTTACTCATACAAAGCTGATCTTCTAAAATTAGCACAAAGAAAACAAAAACAAAATTTACTGATTTGACTAAAAATGAAATTGCCAGCTTGACGAGTGTTAAAACACAATTTGGGCTTTTTGCTAAGTTTTAAATCATCAGAAACAATGAAACACAATACATGCAGCATTTCAAACAAAATGAGCCTGTCATTCTTAACAGAAACAAACGACGCCTTTAACCACTTCAATGATCAAGTGAAAGGTGAAATAGAGGCACGGTCACAAAGAGGTTCAGTGTGGGTGATTGAAGGGATTTTGAACGCATTTGTTAATGTTACTCGACACGAACCATTTCATGGAGGAAGCTATTTTCCTCTCCCAAAAAAGTTACAAAATAAGAAAGCAATCATAAACATCCAAAACAAAGACAACCAATGCCTGAGATGGGCACTTCGTGCTGCTCTTTTCCCAGCTACAAAAGGAAAAAACCCTATAAGACCTGGGAGTTATCCAACAACCGACGGTTTTAATTTCACAGCTATCGACTTCCCAACACCAATTTCACAAATTAATAAACTCGAAAACCAAAATGCAAATCTTGCAATTAATGTGTTTGGCTGAGAAAATGGCCATGTTATTTTTCACAGAATCAGCGAAAAAGACGGCGCTATTCCACGAATAAACTTAATGCTTATCCAGCAAGGTGAAAGTACGCACTATAGCTATGTAAAAAGGCTTTGCGCTCTCTTGTATGATCAAAACAGGCATAATGAGAGTAAACATTTCTGTGAACGTTGTTTGTATGGATACCAAAGGATGGATCTACTTGAAAGGCACAAACCTGAATGCAAAGGGTTGTTGAAAAGACCAACAAGAACACAGCTGCCAAAAGAGGGAGAGAACAAGGTGTCTTTCACAAACTACCCGATAAGCAGATGAAAGCGCCTTTCGAAATATGCGCAGACTTCGAGTCTTCGTTACGAAAGATCCACGGCTGTGATCTGCCAAAACTCATGAACAAAGTCTTACCGTAAAAACAGAGATGCATCAGGCATGCGGGTTTGCTTGTACAATCCCGCTCTTGATGACACCTGAAGATTGGCAAAAACACAAAAATGCAACTGACTGCCACACTTGTAATAAAAGTTTGGTTAAGGATCTTTTCTTGGACCCTATATCAGTGCGTGACTGACACTGGCGGATATTGCGGTCAAAGCCACAAAAGATGTTATTAAGTGACAAGTAAAAAAATAAACTTTATTGGCGCACAAAGGAAGATCAAATAGACCAATGGATTGCAAACAACCAGGAAACATGTTTGTTCTACGCAGAGCCTTTGTTTGTGCGAAATCACTAAGACTCAATGATAGACCGCATAATAATGAATGTAACTTAAAGCCCAAATTGAACGCAAAAACGGTGCCAATCCCAGATTTCATAACTTGAAAGGCTATGATGGGCACCTTTTGATGAAGCCAATGTCGAGGGTGCACGGAGAAATAAATTGCATCCCAAGCAACATAGAAAATTACAATACTCATTCTCACTGGGAAATCTTAAATTCATCGATAGTGTGAATTTCTTGCTGAGCAGTCTGGATTATATAGTAATTTTAGGAAAATCTTTCTTGTTGACTTGTTGATGTAAATATCTAGAAACATTACCTTCCTTGAGTCACGTCATAAGAATTTTGCTAATTAAATATGGAACTGAAAAACTTGTATCTTTCAAATCGAATAAAAAGAATTTTTTTCAAGAAAAATGGAAGATTTTTGAGGAAACGATTTTAACTAATAATTAAAGTCGGAAAACGCTATTATTACGGAAAATCGTTAAATTAAATAAGTATGTAGAAAAGAATTGACAATATCTATTTTCTTTATGAATTCAATTTGGTGTCATTGTTAACTTCTGTAAACCAAACTTTCTTCATTCTTCTGTAGCTTAATTGTTGGGAAAAGAATTGTAATTGTTGTAATTGTGGAAATAAATAAAGAAAGGCAACAAAAAAAAATTACGGAAGAAGAATATGAGCACGGGCAAAACGTTTGGGAAGTATTCGGGTGCAAAAACCTTGTTGACTATCACAATTTGAACGTAATCACAGACGTGCTGCTTTTAGCGAATGTTTTCGAAAACTTTAGAAAGGTATGTATGGAAAAATACGGGCTAGATCCAGCGCTTTATTACAGTTCACCGGGCTTGAGCTGGGATGCTCTTCTAAAAAGACAGGCGTGGAGCTTGAGCTCTTGACAGATCAAGACATGTACCTTTTCATTGAGAGAGGAATGAGAGGAGGCTTCTCAATAGTGAGCAAGCGCTATGCAAAGGCGAACAACCCACTGGCTGAAGGATATGACCCGGGCAAACCAAGAAATTATATAATTTACCTAGATGCGAACAACCTTTACGGCTTGGCTATGAGCTTGCCACTGCCAAAACGCGGTTTCAAGTGGAAGCGTGTCATGCCCACAGAAGAACAAATAATGAAAATGAACGAAAATTCAAAGGAGGGGTGGATACTAGAGGTGGACCTGGAGTACTCTGAAGACTGCACGAAGAACACAACAGTTGACCCACTTGCGAGCGAGAAAAACGTCATTGAAAAGGAGTTGATGTCAGTTTACCAAATGCGTTTGATGGAGGACTTGAAATTGGACCGGCCGAACAGCGAGACGCTGGTGCTGACGCTGGAGGACAAAAAAATTACGTCGTACACTACAGGAACCTGCAGTTTCATCTAAAACAAGGGATACGTTTGAAAAAAATGCACAGAGCGATCGAGTTTGAACAAGAACGCTGGCCATGGATGGAGCCATACATTCGGACGAACACTGAATTAAGAAAGAAAGCAAAAAGCGATTTCCAGAGTAACTTTTACAAACTGATGAACAACTCAGTGTTCGGCAACATGGAGAACTTGAGAAACCGTGTCAATGTGAAGATTTTTTGAAGCTGGGAGACAGACAAGATACGTCGTTTGGTGGCCAGCCCTTCATGATCATTTGCTCCTCCTGAACAAGCCTGTTAACACAGGTATGACAATTCTAGATCTTGATGTATGATCGACATGCTCTATAATTACTTGAAAACTAAGTACGGGTCGAAGTACAGACACAGACAGCCTTCTCTTAGATAGCCAGACGGAAGACGTTTACAAAGATATAGTGGAAGACATTG